GAAGGCAGAGGCTTAACGACTGAGCCACCCAGGCGCCCCGCCACCATTTTATAGATTCATAGAGGGTTTCAGTAAATTGTGCCCAGCTTCTAGCAAAGCTGGGAATGCAGGGAGTTGGGCACCAGGAACTGCCCTTTCCACCAGGATACAATGCCACCTTCTTTTCAAGGGTCTCAGTGTTTTCCCAAAATAGTCCAGCACAGTGATTGAAAGCACTGATTTTGGACTCACTTTCTCAAGTCCCTGGTTCCCTTACTTATTAAGTAGGAACAATAATAGTACCTGTCCCAGAGGGTTATTATGGGATTAAATGAGGTCGTGAAAGTGAATCCTTTAGCACAACACCAACAGGAGTAATTATTCAACCAGTGGTAGTTGTTATGGTATTATTATGATTATACTTCCTGAAATGAATTTGACAGGAGATTCGTTTTTCTCCAGAGAGGGCCCTTGTCCTTGGGATGCCACTGCTTTGCTGATTATTCCCATAGGCCTGGTGACAGTCACTTCTGTGTGCTCACCGATCCCCGTTTCCTTTTCCTCCTGAGCACACGGCTACACCTCATTTCCCAGCCTCCCTTGCGGTCAGGTGGGGACGTGTGACTGACTTAGGACTAATGGAATGTGGGCAGAAGTGGTAGATATTCCTTCTAAGACTTGTCCCTAAACTACCGGGCAGTGCCATTCCAGCCCAGGCTGCTGACTGGACGCAGAGGATGCTCAAGGACTCAGGGGACCCACTTGATCAGGGCTTCTTAATCTTTTGTTTGCTATGCACCTTTTTGGCAGTTCCCCATGAAACCTAGGCAGAGTAATATTTTTTAACATTTAAAATGAAACACATAGAAATACAAAGAAGAGCAAGTATACTGAAATACAGTTATCAAAATATTAAAAATATTTTGTGATATGGTTGGTACGGTATGTATTCTTTAATGAACATATTGAATAACAAGGTCTTGAAGTGAGTCTAATAAGTACCATCATTTCAAAGTCGTGTTAAGCCTAAGTGAGATTTCATGATATCTGCTAAAATTATAATGTGATATGAAACTATCTCTGCTTTCTATTGGTGGTAAAGTCACACAGGCAGCACTAATATTGTGGTTTGATGCTGTCAATCATAACTGCAGGAGATGCTGAATTATAGTTAAGAGGTTAATGACAATGAAAATATACTTTTTTCCTACTCCAAGTTCACAGACCTTCTGAATTCTGCCCACCCTTCTGGGGACCTGTGGACTCCAGGTTAAGAATCCCCGTAATAGGTGGAAGGAGCCTGGGTCCCTGGAGGACTGTGTGGAGCGCAGGTACTCCCTTCACCACTCCCAGCTGACCTGAGTGGATTGTGACATACGAAATAAATAAACCTTTATGGTATTAAGGCACTGAGGTTTGGAAATAGGCTGTTCCAACAGTAGGCCTACCCTTACCAATAAACACAGTGGCGGGAACACCTTCCCTGAACTGGTAGGATTGATGTAGCTTTGTTTCCAAGTCCAGTAGGATTTCTGCCATCCAGCCCTTGTGGGGCTGCCCGGGATATGCCCTGTGTTATGGGGCAATCATTTACACATTTAGAAGACGACTCCTTCAGGTGTTCCTGATGGGATTAGTATCCTGATCCAGACAGCCACCCCCACCGAAGACTTTTTGTACATTTCTCAATTGAAAAGACACTTGGAACCTTCCAGAACGGAGGAGGAGCCTGTGTGTTGGGGAACGGCCACTTCCAGCATGGCTAGTGGAGGGAAAATCACAGCAGCACACAGCTGCAGCCAGCTAGAGCGGACTAGCGACAGCCCCACCCTGCCTGGGGGCTCCGTGAGCCGGCAGCCCCGCATCGTCGCCAAGGCTCTGCCTGGGTGGCTGGCATTGACAACGCCGCAAGCCAGCCATTCCTGCCTCAGCGCCGGGGCGTCACCAGCAGCTGGGGGATGCTCGCCCTGGCAGCAGGCCGCTCTGAGCTATCCAGGAGCTGCCGCTCCACGGAGCTGGGGCCGGAGCCCAAGAAGCGTGTGAAGGAAGCTGAGAAGCAAACACATACTTAGGAGACTTTAAAGTCCACAGTCCTGATGAGTCTGTGTTTCTTCTTTTTCTTTTTTTAAAGATTTTGTTTATTTATCTGAGAGAGAGAATGAGATAGAGAGAGAGAGCATGAGAAGGGCGAGGGTCAGAGGGAGAAGCAGGCTTCCCGCTGAGCGGGGAGCCCGATGCGGGACTCGATCCCGATCCCGGGACTCCAGGATCGTGACCTGAGCCGAAGGCAGTGGCTTAACCAACTGAGCCACCCAGGCGCCCGAGTCTGTGTTTATTCTAAGGAGACTGTTCACAAGTCTCAGGCTCTCTGATCTCCTGGGGCCACTGATCTAAACACACGGGCTGTAGGGTGGACAAAAGGGGGAGAATTTAGATCCCACCCCTCAGCCCCAAATATTCACAGGAAGGAGCTCTGCTTGGTATTTTGTATTCAAAGCATAGAATGACTTAACAATATTAATAAACAAACCCTCACACTAGGAGTGCTTTTTACCCATTTTTCAAACAATGAAGGTAAACTATTAAAAAATATCTTCCACTTAAGGGAATTAATGACTCAATCTGAAATTACATGTACCTGAGAGTCCAAATGGCTGTCTGGAAATAAAGTCATGATAGATGAAAACACTTCTTGATTTATTCCAAACCTTTTTGCTGATGGTATTCTTTGATTAATTAGACTAAACAGCTATTTAGCAAGGAATATTCCAGGTGCCAGAGATAGAGAGAGAGAGAGAGAGAGAGAGAGAGAGAGAAAAGCTGCTCTCCAGGAACTTACATGCTAGTGGGGGAGAGACAGAAATGCTAATAAATGGTGACTGCCTCAGCTATGGTAGATTTCTTGGAGAGGGATGTGGAGCGGCTGTAGGTCAGAGAAGACCTCTAGAAGGTGACTTTTGAGCCAGGACCCAAAGGTTGGAGCAGCAGGTAGCCATGCTAAGAGTTGGGAGTTTTCCAGGGGAAAGGGGAAGAAGAGCTTGGCAGATTGGAGGGCTAGAAAGAAGAGTGAGTTTAGAAGGCAATGAGAAAGAGAGAGAGAATGATCGGAGATAAGGCAGACAGGCAAGGAGGGCCAGATCCTCAGGGTCTTGTAGGTGAAAGTAAGGAATTTGGGCTTTATTCTAAAATAAAAGAGAAGCTACTGAAGGGGTTTAAGCAGGGGAGTGATATTATATGATTATATGATTTAGGTTTTAAAAAAACATCACTCCAGGGGCGCCTGGGTGGCTCAGTCGGTTAAACGGCTGCCTTCAGCTCAGGTCATGATCCCAGGGTCCTGGGATCGAGCCCGTGTCAGGCTCCTTGCTCAGCAGGGAGTCTGCTTCTCCCTCTCCCTTGGCCAGTCTCCCCGACTTGTGCACTCTGTCTCTGAAATAAATAAAATCTTTTGAAAAAAATACCGCTCTGCTTTGGGGAGAGAGCAATAAGGTCGCCTGTGTCCTGCTACCGCAGGTCAGAGGAAACGGTGGATGGAGGAAGACTGGGCAGCGAGCCTGGAGAAAAGCAGACACGTTCAAGATATGTTTTGGAGGCAGATCCAACAGTACTTGCTTTGGGTTGAATATGAGGCCAGGCATATGATACTATTAAAGACAACTTGCATAGCTAGGCAAATCGTGGTTCTGTTTCGAATATGTTAATTTTGAGATACCTATTAT